TATATATATATATATATATATATATATATATATATATATATATATAACAATCATAGTTTTATTTACAATTGGCCAAACTACAATAATATAAATATCAAAATTCATCCTCACTTGTCAAGTTCAATAAAACACCATCATCGAGAAGGTGTCACAGATAAACACGGATTCTAACCAATCTAACCAGTCTGAGCTTCTTTGACATGGAATGCATGAACTTGTTGAGTGACTTCCTTCCATCAGCGTGAAGAGACGACCCACAAAGAATGAAAGGATTAAGAATCCTAAAGATATCCTATTTACATGGCATTAAGCATTCACTACCAATTTCCTCCAATAATAGACTGTTGCCTTTGGTATCCTCAAGCACCAACACTCAGCATGCTTAATGGGTCATTGTCAAAAGGGAGAATTGTCCATGGGGGAAATGTCTGGCCCATCATGTATATAGTCCGAATTGAGATATTTCTAAAGTACAAATATTTCGCCAGTTTGTAAAGACAAATAAATATGTAGCAATACACACTAGTCACACTAGAGTGATCTCAGTCTAGGTTTGTGTCACTATGTGACAACGATTCTTGGGGGATGCAGACAGAGTATAACTCTAAATGTCTCTTGGTCAGTACCACAGACGTTCTGGAAAGCTAAAAGTCCAGAGAAGACAATGACAATGATGATGATGACGATGATGGTGAGAGTAGAACGGTTCATTCGTAGCATAATCGAATCGACAGAGCGGGGATCTGCGAGCGCACGCTTCGTTTAGACACCTCTCATGACAACCTATTAATATATCCCAACATGTAGGTTCGTGAATTAATTGTTTAGTGTGTAAGAAAAAGTTTACAAAATCCTAGATTCGCCACTGCAGAAGGTGCTTGCTGGATCCTCTCATTGACATTGACGAGGCATCGGAGGCATTTGTAAACGTCAATTTAGGAGCTGGAAATATGTTTTCGTCGGTGATGGAAAGTATACTGAACCACAAACGAAACATCACTCCGACGCAAGATATCAGAGTCTTTAACTTCAAAATATGATGAACACAAATTGAAAAGTAGGATTGAAATGAAACTTTATTGTTATATTATGATCACCACATGTCAAAGAGTTATGCCAAACGTTCTCAATAAATAGTGAGTGAGTTGGGTTTAACGCCGCTTTTAACAGTATTCCAGTTATATCGCGGCGTGTCAGCTTAATGTGGGAGGAAAGCCCGAAGTGATGCAGGTCTCAGACGTTTACCACTTCGGTGAAACCCACGAGCACGGGTATTCTCAATAAATAAATCACCAGATAAGAATATGAGATGTGAAAGTCAGTTTCTTGTGTGACCACCTGGGGCGTTTATTACAGCCGTGCGTCTTCAGTACAATTTGGTTTGTTTGTTTGTTTGTTTTTTAACGCCGCACTCAGCAATATGCCAGCTATATGACGGCGGTCTGTAAATAATCGAGTCTGGACAAGACAATCCAGTGATTAACATCATGCGCATCGATCCACGCAATTGGGATGACATGCATCAACCAAGTCAGCGAGCCTGACCACCCGATCCCGTTAGTCGCCTTTTACGACAAGCATAGTCGCCTTTTACGGCAAGCATGGGTTGCTGAAGACCTATTCTAACCCGGATCTTCACGGGTCTCTTCTGTACAAAGAGTGAATAAGTCGAGTGATGAAGGCTTTTGGCACTGGGGCCCACACTCTGAGAAAAACATGACTGAGTTCATCTGCAATTGTCGGCCTTGATTGCACGTCATTCGGTCTTCTTTGAACCTCGGCCCACACGTGTTCCATGGGGTTTAAATCTGGGCTGAGTGCAGGCCACTGCGTGTTTCGGAGGCCAGGTTGTTGCAGGAAGTCCCCTGTTGCGTTTGCAGCATGAGCACGGGCGCTGTCGTTCTGGAAGACGTGGTGCAAGTGACGCCCAATCTGTGGCTTGACGTGAGTTTTGATGATGTAACGGGCAGCTGTGACACCACTGCCTCTTCCTGTGCCAACATGCTGGAACACCACAGGACAAACCTTCTGATTGGGAGCAATAGCCCAACATACCATGATGCTTGGGCCATCCCATGAGTCCCTTTCCATCACAAGGGACGGTGGGGTAGCCTAGTGGTTAACGCGTTCGCTCGTCACGCCGAAGACCCGGCTTCGATTCCCCACATGGAAACAATGTGTGAAGCCCATTTCTGGTGTACCCCGCCGTAATATTGCTGGAATATTGCTTAACATCATACTCACTCACTCTTTCCATCTCACAGCAATCTGAACGTTCCCCACGCCAGTGCCAAACTCTCACTCTGCCATCTGCCGTGGAAACACGGCTTTCCGTCCGAGAAAATAACGTTTTTCACTCCCGACAATTTTGATGCTGCGTGGCCTACTGTAGTCGGTGATGCCGGTGATGAGCTATGATAATGGGGCCATAGTACGATTTTTTGACAGCGGACATTCCTGCTGCCAAACGTCGACGCACTGTATCAGCACTGATGCGTCTGTGGTGGGATGCCCACTTTGTCAAAATGTCAAAAACGAGATACCCCCAAAATGCATTGATACTTCATCGTAGTGGTAAACGTCTGCAGGGACCTGCATCACTTCGGGCTTTCCTCCCACATTAAGCTGCCACGCCGTGATATAACTGGAATACTGTCAACTCACTCACTCTTTTTCGATTTAGTAACGAGGGGTCGGAAATACAGAGATTCGTTCTTAAGGCTGAAACTTGATGTGGCGCCCACCGCCTTCTATTGCCAAGTTTATTTGCTGTTCACAAAAAGTAGGAAGTATTTTATTATCCCGCTTATTCTCGTGTGCTCCTTCCCCTGCAATCAAAGGCAAGTGGTCAATCTTTCACCCAACATAGTGACAAACACTATAATCAAGTCCCACAAATACCAGATTTTGAAGGAAGTAGGTCATTAGGCCGTTGAACAAGCTGAAAATTGATTCTCACTCTTCCCCCGCCTGTTTGCTACACAGATGAGGTCAATATGGCCAACCGAACATCCTGAATCACTTGCCAACGAGTGTATATATCATTTCGAGTATATATCAATGCACGAAACATGGTTACACATCCTCCTTCACACAAAATAAAATTCAAGGCATAGGCAAAATTTTCAAAAATTGTTATGGTAGGCATGTGGAGGACATTTCAAAATCTGACGCATCAGGGACAAAATTTATGTTCGATGCAATGTTCTATTTTGATTAGTACCATTTGTGCCCGTGTTTTTCAGGTGAACAATTGGCTTGCCTTTGCATGTGTTTGTGACGGATGGCACCGGTGGGGCAGGGAACGCTCACTTTTTCGCGCACACCTGTATCATCACTATTTGATAGTTATTTATAAACACTGATCATATTATGGTCGGAATCGTACTACAATCGACTCTGCTTTTGGTAGAAGTGTCATAGGAACATTAGAAGGGTTTTGTCGCTTTTATTTATTACAAAGGTCGCCTCATGTTAACTGGGGAGGACCGTTTAAATATTGCTTATAGGCTGAGTATCTACACTATAGGGTTTAATTTTCTCAAACTAAAACTGTTAGGCTTTATAGAGGAAATTAAGATAATGTAGCAGATGACGACATACATGCGCGAAATAAAAGCTATCGCCATTGATTCCTGCATTCGACATCACTGACCACATCAGCGTTCACGAAATTATTAGTGTTTATTTTCTCTCTTTATGATGGCAGAATGGAGATAAACCTGAAATGTTTTCAATTAAGAAGTTTCGAATTCCGATTCGTACACACATGATTTGTATGTTTTAATATAAAACGTCAGCGCCTGGGAATATCAGCCTCGATTACCTGCCGAGGCAGATTCCATGGGGCGTAAAGGGCAAAGGATGGATCAGAAAGGAGAAATCTGAAATTATAACAAATGAGAAAAAACTTTTTGTAGTTGTTATGACAGTCGTTAGATTTGTGCACATGAATGACAACTGGGCCTCCTTTCAACACGTTGGAAACATAACAACGCTAATCAGTATGCAAAGCTATAAATGTGTTGAAAAGGTAGATTTTAGTGGGTTTTTTTTCAAATATGAACGTGAACAACTATTTGACCCAAAATGATTTTGTTACGACATGTCCATAAAAACAGTACAAACATATGGCCAAAATAATCTTCTTGGGTCATGGATTAGCTCTTACTTTGTTTTTCTCCTTAAGTTAGAAAAAAATATCCTTATTAGATCATTTAACCTCAATGATGTACTTGAAGATGCCTGAAGTAAAAAAAATTGCAAGCGTAAGAAAAGCAAAAGGCTAGTATCTACCAGTTGAACATGTTTAATAATATTCACACTACTACAAAGTATTCCGCAAATGTCCAGTTGGCAAAATAGGACCCTTATCTCACGTCGTCCTTTGTCAAATTCGAACCTCACGCTAACGTGTATGACAGTGTTTCTGTTACAAATACCTTAATCGATGCATGTAATTTGGATATTTGCCATGGAACTGGATCATGTGGCGAATACATTTATGTAAAGTCGTATTGTAATAGAATATATTATAAGTCAGCCTTTCTTAGTAAATATAGTATGTATATCCTTTGTAATGATGTCGCCTTGCTCTCGGTAGTATGATTAGATTGGCCATCCTGGCCAACCTCGTCACGACCATATTGTAAATGATAGGCAAACGCCTGCATGAGTGCACAGCGCTGTTAGAAGTGGGTCAGGACCTGATGTTCTCGCCAAACATAATTATAGCTTAGATTTGCTTTCTTGGTAGCGATGATCAAAGGCATAAGAGATGGACAACGTTAACAAACAAGGTTATCTTCCAAAGTCAAGCATGATAACCATAACTTTGTCCTATGTAGTGTGTTCAGGTGGGATGGCGACTCTCGTCAACCATCTGACACAATAAAACGGTTCTGTTAGCTTTCCTTAAAGTCTAGACTCGACGAAACGACAGAATAACAACGCATCGTTAGGCTGCATAACAAACATGTTTCTCCAATTTTCTCGAAAGCATGAAGGAGTAGGTCCATGATCTGTATGGTTCGTATTGTTATTCAGCCAATTCCCTTCCACTGATCTACCAACCGGAACTGAAAAAAGAGACCAGTATAATCGCCTCATCTGTTTGATATCTCTTTAGATATAGGCATAAAGATTCAGCGTTGCAATAAGATATCAACAAGACTATGTGTCAAGACGGATGACTTCACTTTCAGTCGGGGCAAGAACACCTGTCGTCATCACTATTTGACTGTGTTTCATGACGCAAAAGTCATGGTGGAGAAACACTATAGATTTTTACCCACCAAGTATACCAGCAAACTGAATTGGGAACACATAGAACTTTGCTCTTTAATTCAATGTCAGCTGCCTAGCATGGATGTTAGAGTAAAAGAAGCGACAAAACCCTAATCCATATCCACATGAAATCTCTTCCAAAAACACAGTCGATTGTATGTATGTTTTATTGTCAATAAAAAATAGTGACGCGCAGGATTTATAGTGACGCGCCTATGTACGATACACAGTTTCTTTTTTAACCTTAACGTATATTCCACACTCGAGGAACTAAAACCTTCAGCTAAAAGCTGGCCCTGTGTTCGAATCCCTTGGTGGCCCTAATTTTGATCCATTATTTGTGAGCATCCCACCCTTGTCCATTAGCATCCCACCCCTTGCCATTAGCATCCCACCCCTGGCCATTAGCATCCCAACCCTGGCCATTAGCATCCCACCCCTGGCCATTAGCATCCTACCCCTGGCCATTAGCATCCCACCCCTGGCCATTAGCATCCCACCCCTGGCCATTAGCATCCCACCCCTGGCCATTAGCATCCCACCCCTGGCCATTAGCATCCTACCCCTGGCCATTAGCATCCCACCCCTGGCCATTAGCATCCTACCCCTGGCCATTAGCATCCCACCCCTGGCCATTAGCATCCAACCCCTGGCCATTAGCATCCTACCCCTGGCCATTAGCATCCTACCCCTGGCCATTAGCATCTCACCCCTGGCCATTAGCATCCCACCCCTGGCCATTACCGACCTTCCCCTGGCCATTAGCATCCCAGCCCTGGCCATTAGCATCCCAGCCCTGGCCATTAGCATCCCACCCCTGGCCATTAGCATCCTAACCCTGGCCATTAGCATCCCACCCCTGGCCATTAGCATCCTACCCCTGGCCATTAGCATCCCACCCCTGGCCATTAGCATCCCACCCCTGGCCATTAGCATCCCAGCCCTGGCCATTAGCATCCCAGCCCTGGCCATTAGCATCCTACCCCTGGCCATTAGCATCCCACCCCTGGCCATTAGCATCCTACCCCTGGCCATTAGCATCCTACCCCTGGCCATTAGCATCCTACCCCTGGCCATTAGCATCCCACCCCTGGCCATTAGCATCCCACCCCTGGCCATTAGCATCCCACCCCTGGCCTTAAGCATCCCACCCCTGGCCATTAGCATCCCACCCCTGGCCATTAGCATCCTAGCCCTGGCCATTAGCCTCCCACCCCTGGCCATTAGCATCCTACCCCTGGCCATTAGCATCCCACCCCTGGCCATTAGCATCCCACCCCTGGCCATTAGCATCCTACCCCTGGCCATTAGCATCCCACCCCTTGCCATTAGCATCCCACCCCTGGCCATTAGCATCCCACCCCTGGCCATTAGCATCCCACCCCTGGCCATTAGCATTCCACCCCTGGCCATTAGCATCCCACCCCTGGCCATTAGCATCCCACCCCTGGCCATTAGCATCCCACCCCTGGCCATTAGCATTCCACCCCTGGCCATTAGCATCCCACCCCTGGCCATTAGCATCCCACCCTGGCCATTAGCATCCCACCCCTGGCCATTAGCATCCCACCCCTGGCCATTAGCATCCTACCCCTGGCCATTGCTTTACGACGTATGTTACCCTTCCGGCTCTCCCCCCATTACAGACACACCGTATATAATCACCGCCAAAAGAAACGCAAACCATATAAACATATAGAGACGTATGTACGTTAAGATTAAGAACACATGTTTCCAATGTGTACCAATTAATGACAAAACTAACAATCAGTCAAGAAATTACAGTGTTTTATTCTTATCACGATATCCTTCACGTGATTTCCAAACTTTACACGCTAATCCTGCACGAGACAAATGGTGCATCTCGAGTCATGGATTTATGACGTCACATGTGATGCGTTCATGAGCCTCTTAAATACCTCTTGAATATAAGTAAGTCTTCATTTATTAACCAACATGTGTGGTACTCGCAGTGAGTATATAACTCACTCCCGCAGTGAGCTGAGGCCGTGTCATGAACAACGTATAACAGTTGAGGTATGGTTAGGAGTTTAAATCACCGTGGAATCCCAGACCCATATCAGCATATTTCATCTCACACGTGACACTGTATTCAGTAGGTGGGCGGATGATAGCTTCCCTTCTTTTGATGATACGCGGCTGCCCTGTCATCTTAGCCTTAATGTACAAAGTTCTATAAACCCTTGATCTTTCACAATAGCTACAAGATGTAGCAGTTACTTGTCAAGTAGACAAAAGGTCATCTGGCAATTATTTAAACTCTGTATATTCTTTCTGAGCCTATTACAATTAACTTCTTATGACGTACAATAAACACTGATGGACTATGATATAAACATCAACGCCAGAGAATAATCAGTGTCGATTATCTGTCGAAACAGATTCCGTTGGGCGAAATTTCTTTGAAAATGTGGTGAATATTATATAAAAGGATAGCTGAAAATCATTGAGACTAGATGTTTGCAAAAAAGTCTCGTGGCCCCAGCAACCCCATAGCCATGTTACAACAAAGCAGAAGGTGTCTATGGAAGCGTACCTTTGATGAGACATTCGCATGTGAATATATACTACTCAAAAGAAGTTAAGGATCACACGATTCTTTCATATTGGTAATGTTAATCTGTCATGGCATGATTAACTATTGTAATATGAAAGAATCAGGTGATCCTTAACTTCTTTTGAGTAGTATATATATATATATGGAAATATAGATTTTGAGATCTTACTATTTTGTCTCATAATTGGTTGGCGACTAAACACAAAACCTGGTATGGCGTTTGAAGTTCAGATCAGTAAACTGTATTCGGACGGGCAAATTCATTTACGAATCATTAAAAGCATTTTCAGTTTTGCAGCTGATCATTATTGTTACTATGAAAGAGGAGCAGAAAGTACTTCGTGTGATAGGCACACCGGCGAAAACGAGTATCATTTGGAAACGCGCTAATAATAATAATAAGTAGGTTGGTTGGTTTGTTGTTTAACGCCGCACTCAGCAATATTCCAGCTAATCGAGCAATCGAGTCTGGACCAGACAATCCAGTGATTGACAGCATGAGCATCGATCCACGCAATTTGGATCGATGACATGCATCACTTAAGTCAGCGAGCCTGACCACCCGATCCCGTTAGTCGCCTCTCACGACAAGCATAGTCGCAATTTACGGCAAGCATATATGTTGCTGAAGACCTATTCTACCCCGGATCTTCACGGGTCTAATAATAACAGGGAACACACCGGTCTACGTACAAGAAACGATAAGTGAGAGAGTGTATGATTTACTTCAGGTCACTTTCATTTGTATGTCTTCTAATCGTAATATGACTCTGCAAGAATAAGAGTGTCGTTCATCTGCCATATAGCATGGGTTTCGACTTCAGTTTCGACGTCAAATATGTGCACATTCACGTGCTCCGTTCTAACTGTCAATGCCGTGTGCACATGCACGTGCTGTGTCCACAATGTTCGACGTCAACGTGTGTACACAATCAGATGCTGTATCCAAAAACGTATCGACGTCAATGTGTGTGCACGTCCTTTCGCTGTTTTGTAACTGATCGGCGTCAATTTATGTGGACGCACACACTCACAAACAAACACTCACACACACACACACACACACACACACACACACACACACACACACACACACACACACACACACACACACACACACACACACACACACACACACACACACACACACACACACACACACACACACACACACACCAGCCAGAATCACATAATTAGCGAAATCAGAAGCCAAAATGTTCCGTGATAATCGTGCAATGTGTAATCGCATTTTACCTCATACCGGCTAACCGTAAGGCATCGTTCAAACCAAACAGTTTTAAAACGAGCAGTGTGTATTCTATCTGATGATGTGGGTTTAGTTAAAAGGCGGTGTGAAGTATCAAAGACGACCAGTGTGAGCCATCTGTATACAAGACTTTAGAGGCTGCATATGCCTAGTAGTTATAAATTGGCACCGAGGGAATACGACTATTATCCGAATGGCCCTGAACGAGATACAATCAGTCATTCGGTCATCACGTCGAGACAGTTTCCATGCATATGGTATCGTTGGGCTTACATCATTTCCACAGAAAGGCAATTGTTGTTCTGAAGTTACGACTTGCATGTTTATTCAATGAAGAAATTTTACGCCATTCGGCCTCAGGCGGATTGCGTTTTCTATTATGTCACATACATCGTTGACGTATATATCAATAAGATGAATGTAGTATACAGTCATGTATCTTGGACTGATGCGTGTATAATACATACATATTGAACCGAACAACCACGCTTCTCTTTGGTGCATAGTGCCAATCCCGTCCATCACGTAGCTTCCCCTTTAGATTGTAATGTGCTTGTAATGAGAGTCATGGGAAACGCTTTGAACAGGACATAAATACATGATAATATAATAATTGCATTTATGTAATCATATAGCATTATTCATCATGTGTCACCATACAAGAAGTCACATGGATTTTCTATGTTTAAACATAGATGGGTTATTTGTGAAAAAATCTGATTCAATTTTCAATCTTTTTATGAATCACGTTCCTGTGATGACACGAGTCTTTGTCCTTGGGCCCTTTCCGTATTCCGTAGTGTCATTTTGTTTTTTTCAAGAAGGAGTCCTATCTAACAAGACCCCTTCAACTCCTGTACGAGCAAGGTATCCTTTAGATACCCTACAGAAACGTCAGTTTTGTTAATAACATTGTTTTTACACGCGCGCTATGTAATTTGCCAAACTTTATTCGATCTATTAAGTCACGGGACTTTCGCTGCTCAGAGGGGCGCATTAATATCATGGAGTGGTGTAATTTCTTCCGCGTGGATGGCAGTCAACAGGCGAATTAGTTCCTTAAATACACCAACTAATCTCCCCCACATCTCTCATTGAAGGATGGCTCCCGGCAGTTGCTGCTGTTAGCTCTATACTGCGCTTGTTGCTGACGATGTCATGTTTTCTGACCCAGAGAGACTCAGGAATGATTGATAATCAACAGTAGTTGTCGGTCAAATGAGGGAGCAGTACATAGTGATTATACCACTCGCCATCAACATTTAATCTAAAAAAGTGAAGCCTTTCCGTACAGCCAATAATTTGACATTTATCCGAACACCGGTTGAATATATAATTTTCTGGAACTCTTGAAATGTATTGAGATGATTGCGTTGGCGGTGGATCTGTATGCGCCCCATTAGCAGATCCTGGAATCGTCTGTTAACAACATTCAAACTGACGATGACGGAAAGAAAATACCCCTTGTTATAGGTGATATGTCTTTATGCATGATGTGGGGGCGCGAGTGGGCCAGTCTAAGGCGCCGCAATTCGCTGTGCAGAGTTGCGTCCCTTGGGCACGCCAGAAACCTATGATCGTGGGTTCGAATCCCGGTTCGCCCCGATTAAGTTTCTAGGTTTGTCAGCACCATACCCGTGCTCGTGGGTTTCACCGAAGTGGTAAACGTCTGGGACCTGCATCACTTCGGGCTTTCCTCCAACATTAAGCTGACACGCCGTGATATAACTGGAATACTGTTAAAAGCGGCGTTAAACCCAACTCACTCGCTTATACATGTTGTTATATTGCCGTATAATATCATACAGAAAAGGGGTTTGGGGGAATATAAATTAGAAATTAGTTTTTCATTTAGCTTAATGTGCCAATTTCACCTTTCGGATGATAGAGCTGGGGATTCAAATGTTTTACAGTGTCAGTATTCCCTTCCTATGATTCCTTGATGACGTCACGTAACACGGGGGGGATACAGTGAAGGTGACAGTACCTGTATTTTTCACTGAACATTATGAGTGCTTGTTGTAATGGAATACTAAAATATCTAATAGTATTGGCAGTGGTTTAAAGGGTCCATGGTGTTAGTGCGCTCAATAGTGTAGAAAGAGGTGAGGTGAAATGGGGTTTAACGTTGCGTTCAAGATTATTGCGCTTACACAGCGACGTGCATGCACGTGTGTGTGAGGCTGCCGATTTAAAGTGCTGACATGAATATCCCACTGAGACACAGTATACTGACTCCGAGCCGACAGTCCTTGTTTAAGTTGCTTAATGCCGATCGCCAGGCAGGGTAACAACAGGTACCATATTTTAACGTATATTGATATGACGCGGCCGTCGTATGTATGTATGTATGTATGTATGTAAGTATGTATGTATGTATGTATGTATGTATGTATGTATGTATGTATGTATGTATGTATGTATGTATGTATGTATGTATGTATGTAAGTATGTATGTATGTATGTATGTATGTATGTATGTATTTAAGCGTCTATGTGTTCCTATGAGTATTCTTCTGCCCTATGTTAGACACGTAGACACGTTAACATCTGACTTCAACAATCAATGGCCTCTCGCAATACGGATATGAGAATCCCCTAACTTACTCAAAACAGTACGAAAACAATCCGTTTATTTCATTTCATGTTCAAGTTACAAGGATTTGTACGAAAGCTCAACAGTGTCATCCCCTAAGCAGCGACAAAACACCCTAATGTTGGACAGATTCATAAAGGTCATATTCTACACATGTAAATGTAACACACTTATCGTTGACGCCGTCTTGAAACCACCGCGACCTTGGCGACATAAACATATTTGTTTGTGTCATGTGATTAGCTCTAGTGTGAAATA